GTCTGCATCCCCCTTCAAATTCAAATACGATTGTGACTTTCACATCATTTCCACTGTTTACCTTTGAACCTTCAGTATCACTTTGCCTCAAACTTATTGTTCCAAAATTAAACCCCTAAAATTTGATAGCCTCTAGGCCTCCATTTCTCAATGTTGTTTTATGCTTCGTTTTCGATATGCTGGAATGCGAAAGCAGAACGCTTACATCACAAATGATACTTATAAGTGCTTACATGCTCTGCTTGTGCTGAACCAGCAGTCGATACTTTTTGTCAAACTCAATGACGCATGTGGGAAATCGCTGTCTGCTGCATTTTATGATAATCGCTGCTTTTTCTAGACGGCTTTTCCAAATACCATATGCTCTGCGATGCAGATGAAAGAGAATTGTGTAATATTAGATAGCATAATCGCATGAAAATCTCTTTTTTTGATAGAAGCTTTTCTTGATGCTAGAAATACTCCAATTGGAGGTTTGGTGCACTCGCGTTATTATAGGACCAAGTCTGCTACGTTTTCATTAGGAAAGAAAAACTTCTTTGAACTTTAAAGTGCTCTAAATGTGAGAAGTTTATTGAGAGCGCACAACACATAAACTTTCAAGGGCCTCGTACATCATACTGGGACAGAGATTTTAGTTTATACGTACAACACAAAAAGAACTAAACATTTACATCATAAAAACGCGCCAGTTTCAAGTATTTCTGCGTTGTTAGAGCTTTCGTGCATTCGCAAATAGTTCTGACCGAATATGAAAAGGTTAAAAGGGATTATATGAGGGAGCTTAACATAATCGGCAAGGTTCAAGTCAAATTAGATTTGCAGTGTCACTATAACAGTGGGATTTTTCAGTAAGAATCCAGTACATCACAAATGATACTCGAGTACTTACATGCTTTACTTGTGCTCGACCACGCAGTCGATACTTTTTGTCAAACCCAATGACGCATGTGGAAAGCAATCATAGTTCATCAAATCAAAGTTTATCAAATCGGAGCGCTACGGTCTATCTTAATAAACCATAAATGTCTGTGCAGGAATGAACTCGCAGCAGGCCCTGTTTAAATTCGAATCAAGTATTTGCATGATATCGGCCAATCAAAAATTTATATAACGAGATCGTTCCCTCAACCTTTTTAGGAAATTAGGCCACTCAAGGCTCTGCATTCAATATATATTGGAAGAAGATCTGGCGCACCAATTTTTGTATAAATTTCCTTTCTTTTGTACACAAGAAAAATCATGTTCTCCATAAAGGTGTTTGGATGGCTTTATTATGTATACACTGTAGAGAGGTAAGATGCAAGAAAAAACCACTCAATTTTGAGTCTTTTGAGTTTGGTCGTAAAAATCTAAATATTGCGATAACAATCCGAGGAGTCGGAATTATAGATTCTACAATCTGCTTTTTACAACCAAAAAATTCGCGCGGATTGGTTGTCTTTATGAAAAGTTATTATTTTCGAGAAAGGAACCCCAAAAATTCACATTTGCTGTTTTGTACTATATTACTTTCATAAAAGTCATAATATGCTTAATAATCATAATATACCATTTAACACATTACACTATAATAATGTATTGAATATAAATAAATAATCTTTTACAGAGACAGCCAATCAGCTCAAATGTTTGCCGACTGCTCGGACTTTTACATTTTTTGATTTTTTTCCAACAAGATTTTTTCACGATCTAACTCAGATTCGAAATACCTCACACCTTCTTTCTATGCAACTTACGCATAATAGAAAGCCGTCAGAACACCCTTATGAAGAGTATGATGGCTTCTTTGAACAAAATCAACAGCAACCGAATCTGTCTAATAAGAGTTCTCAACTTCCTTTACAACTTGATGTTTTGGTGGATGATTCCTGTTACTATTCTCTTTGCGGGAAGTTCCAGAAACTTCCTTAAATCTCCAGATTTGTGTCATACTTAAGGCAGAGCAGGATCTGTTACATCATGAATATTAGGCCACATTCCCTTTCTGACAATCCTATTACGAAGATAAATTTCGCCTATTACTCTTTATTTGTTGGAGAACCAGCTTCTGTCGTTTGTATTTTACCAGGATACCCATAGAAATAATAGGTCGACAACAAGAAGAGACATAATTGGATTTTTTTTTCATGGTGTGAAAGGGATAAAGGCGTGAAGGCATTTATAATCGCTATGCTTTTTTGAAGCACTAACGAGACCGGTATTTCCGTCATTCTAAGGTGCCATTCATCAAAAAACCGAAACCGTTTACCACCTTTGCCAGTTTCCGTGCCACCAACAAATCACACTCAGTTGCGACTTCTTTGTCATTTGCAATTGAATATAGATTCTATTATAATTTTCGAATATGATAGCAGTCATTTCCTTTGCACTCCCCTCCCCCCCCCCCCCTCCCCGCCTCCTCCCTCCTCCCCCATTCTTCCTCCACACTCGCTCAAATCCTCTTGCAGCTCAGACGAGAAATTGCACCAAATGAGCGAAGCAGGAAGAGAAGGAAAGCCGAGAAATTTCTCCGGCTAGATTGTGGAAAACGTTTTTCCTCATGGCACATGATGGGCGCTTAGCAACTAAGTGGGCGGCTAATGTTTGAACGTTCTCTTTCACAGATGAAAGCTGTTGAGATGGAATTTTCCTATGACTTCATATTTAGCTGTGCATGTTTTACGTATGTGTGCGAATAACGCATTGACTGTGAACATCATGTTATTTTCTTCCATACCCTTGTCCTCGCGGAGCAGCTGCTAAGTATGGAGGTACTTCGGAGGATTGGAGTTGTTGTTAGTGGCGAATGATTTAGTGGGAAGTTGGGTTTGGGTAAACACAAATGTGAATGTATAAGTATCACGTAACCCTGCACTTCCGTTTAAGAGATTTCTATAACTTCTTACACAACCGCCAATATATGAGTCTTTCCGATTCCACAATTTGCTATGCATAAGGCACCTTCGGCTTTTGACTTATGGTACCAGAAGTAAAAAACTCAATTTTTCCGTCATTCCATCATTTTCTTGCGCTGCCTTGAAAGCCAACTCAGCTTTCTAATCGTTCTAAAAATCTTGTGCAAGAGACAAATTCTTGATCGAAAAAATTTTTTTCACCATTTTCTAGCTCTTCAATTGGAACTTCTTATTATAGGGTAGTCGCCAATATCTGAGAGTCATAATCTCTACTTTTTTTCCCACTTTTATTTCCTTGCACTAATTCCTATAGACAGTACTGTCTTCTAGATGATCGGTTACCCATGGTAGGAAGTTTTCTTTTTGAGCTTTCCTAATTCCTGGTTTAGCTTGACACACAGCACTGTGAACCCACAATTAGTCCAAAACGGTTATGAAGTTGAACTAGCAATTTTAGTAGATGATTTATCGTTGACGATTGGGAGCCTGTATAATAGGCTTGCTCTTTTTTTGATTTAAGCAATGTTTGCTCTTTCATTTTCCACGTGGGTCTTGTGCACCAGAATTTGGCGCTACCGTCTCTAACCTTTTTGTTCGATGAAGTCATATTCACACATTAGCTGGGCAGGCAACTTTTCAGTTCATGTTGTGCAAGAAAAAGTTTTGTGCATATTTTACCTTTCAAGACTGCAGTAACTGGAATACTACAGTGAACTTCGTGAATACATGTTTTTGGGTTCCTATGTTCTGCTGCACATTTTATTACTGGTCTTGTGTAAAATAATAGGACTTTCCTTCACTTTTTTACATCAAGCATAGGGCAATGGATAGTGGCGCTATACTTAAGAACTAGCTTATGTTCTTGTAATGCATATTTGCAGCAGGTTTTTTGTAAACTCATAAAAATTTCCTAACAAACTCGTTCATTTGATAGGGACAAAAATATGTGCTTTCTATAGTGCTTGGAAGAAAAATTTTTGTTTTTTTTTCAACGTCGACACAAACTGATAAAGGAAAATATTTTAGTACCTTTTGAATTGGACTCAAAAAGTGCTGAAACGATGCAACTTGATCTGAATTAATTTTTATCCGCTGTTCCATGACCTTTCCTTTCGGACTGGAAGCAGTACATGGTATTCATTGCCTCTACGAAGATTTATTAGGTTTGCACATAAGTTTTGCATATTTCATAACTTTCCTCTCTTTGAATGCGAGGCATTCATTTTTGGGCATAATGTATCATAGATTAAGTAGTAGGCTACAAATGCGCTCAAACAGTTTGATTATTGGTAGCGAAGTGTAGAATTACGCATTCTTCGAAAATTGGTCAAATTTGAAATTTCAAGGGTTGGAAAACCAAAATAAAGCCGTTCTCAGTCTAAATCAAGCACATCAAGCCGAAACTGTACTTACAATTAGATTATTGATAGAGAGATCTCTAAAGATCTATACAGTTTTGCTTGATGTGCTTGATTCAGACGGAGAACGGCTTTATTTTTGGTTTTCCGACCCTTGAAATTTCGAATTTGACTAGCTTTCGAAAAATGCGTAAATTTTCTCATTTTGCTACCAAAAATCAAACCGTTTGAGTAAATTTGTAGCCTACTACCAAATCTACATTACGCCTAAAAATGACATCATCATACTCGAAAAGAGAAAAGTTACAGTGAAAAATTTGCAAACCTTATGTGCTAACCTAATATAATTTTCAAATTCTTTTGATCTCTCAATTTTTTTGGTGCAGGATTAAAGACCTGTTTACACCCTCATCATTTCACTAATCCTTTCCAGCCTCCAATGTTACTCTTTACTATAGTTTAAAATTGAACTGCTTCGCTTGTCGATGCTTCCACATTACCGGTAAAAGTTCTCGTGACTTTTTCTTCTATCTCAGTTTTTTATCACTGTAAATATCTCTCACCTTCCTTCGCTGGAGCTTTCAATAATATACAAACCGGGGCCGTCTCGGTGTACTTTTCATAGGGTCAGTTCTCCTTCTGCAACGATCGTATTTCATTAGCTGACCACTCGCCCATCGTCCTCATCTGCGCATCTTCCCCCATTAACACAATTGCCTTTTCTTCCCAATATTCTCGCCCGTTTACAGAATCTGCTGGAAATGAGCTGATAGAAAGCGGGTTATGACCTATTCTGTCTCTTTGTTGTTTTTGTTCTGTTATTTGCTCAATGTGGATACTGTGGCACAATCCGAGTATCATGACATGCAGAAGCGATCCATGTTAGACGATGATCCCTGCCTTGATGCTCACCAAGTGAGTCTTATTTTCTAGCCATGCAATTTGCAGCTTTCTCTGAGCCCTGCTTCCTCTGAGAGCCATGACATCATAGCTTTTCCCAGTATTTCTTTCGAAGCAAGCACATTTAAGCGCGAAAGACGAAACCGCGTTCTAGCAGTACACTCAAAGGGAGTTCAAAACAAGAGTGAAAGTGAGATTATAAAAATACATCATGGTCTTATCTAAAAATGCTTAAGCACCTCTTAAACCTCATCGTACAACTCCGCATTATATTCGCAGGTTTTGCAAACTGATGAGATTATTTGTTTTTCTAAGCCTAGGTAAATAATAAATGGGCTGTAATAAATATCTTGGAAACTCGATCAGCTTTGAAAACTTATTATACGTTCCTTATCCACCTCTACGAATTGCTGTTACCGTTTTATAAGCCCAAAACAGAGGTTTCAAACATTTATTCTATGGCTTTGCTCAAGCATGTAAATTCTGCCCAAAGCGATAATAATTCGGTACATAATTCTGCAAGTTTTTTGCGCACTTGAATAAATAATTCCAAAATAGAACCAATTCTTGGGGAAAATTGTATAGTATGTGAGCGTTCCCGAGCAGTCGAAGCATGAAAGACTGTTAGAAATCATAAATGAGAAATTGAAGAAATACTTGTGGGAAGTTGCAGTTCTATCTAACCATGGACTGGGCCTGAATATCGGCTACGAATGAATGGTTCGCGATTTTTCGCATTTTCTTTCGAATATTTCTAGAAATTCAGATAGCAATCGCACAACCCAACATTGCTAGCGAGTGACTACAGTTTTCATGCTTTTGCTCATATCATCTAGCTCAAGGAAATTTAGCACCCATATCCTTTCCAGTCCTTTCTCGTTTTGAGTAATTTAGTCGCGTGTTTCAGTATCTTGGTGACTATTAATTAAGTATCTCATCGTATAGCACCTATTTGAGAACACTCAGTAAAACAGAAATTTTCGTGACTCTAATCAAGAGGTAAATCGGGTCCACAAAGCTTCCCCTATGCAAATGGTATTCACCAATAGATTTTTGAGTGAATGAACTAGAACCTCATGATATGTTTAGATTGAAAACCTCGATTCTGTAGAGCTTCTTCCTCGTTACGCACATTTGAAGCGACCCTGGTTGCGAGCGGATGTCACACCAAAGGTAATTTTTGATCTGAAAATACTGTAGGCCTCGTTTCTTTGCACATTTTGCTGCACCCAACGTTTTACGAGTGATTTTTTTAAAATTAAAACTATTTTTTTCTATACGCAAAAAAACGTTCACAATCTTAACCTTTTGTTACAGATCTTCACTAGCGATGGACTGCGTTATCAATGGATGTGGGCAAAAAGCTTAGTAGTCCGAGGCCTCAGCAACGATACCACGGTAACCTTTGATTGAAGTGTGGAGATGGCTTTAACTCTTGACTTATCACTCTTACCTGATATGTCTAAAGCAGTGTTCGATAACCCTTTTGCAGAAAAGGATTCTACAAATCCTCATCAAATCTCTACGTCAGCTGTCAAAAAAAGGCTTGCATTCTCGCATTCAATAGGCAGCTAATTGCTTCATTTGGCGGGATATCGATGATTTCAAAAACATCTTTGTTTTGCAGGAATTATATACACTGTTTTTAACTTAAGCCCACTACCTGCAAATGAATTTTGTCACAGATAGTTAGCAAGAAATATCCACATCCTAAAAAATGGGTTTTGCTGTCATACTGCAGTACTGCATGCTCACTCTTCTCGCTTTTTTTCCAAAATAGGACACTGGTCTACAGCACAATTCTTTTTGCAAAAAATGAAAGAAGAAAAAGAAATACATACAAAAGTAATAGAAGAAATTATTGCTGTATGCCTGCTCAGCATTTCAAGATAGAATCGTCAGAACCTTGTATTCTCAGGTGGGCTGATTGTCATGCTAGATGAAAACTACACAATGAAGTCTCGATTAGTATCCATTTAGTTGAAAATTTTCCATCCATGCAGCAGAATTCCTGGGTTGCAGCTGACTGCTTAATAGCTGATAATTCGGAAAAATACGAAAGATATTCATAGCGGTTCAGATGCAGATAATAAAACTTCATTTGCTATTGTAACATGTATCGATGAGCTCACGTAATGAAGACCCACTTCTTTCTCGTCTTTTTCATTCTAATGGGGCTAGTTTATGCGCCCATATAACACACTAATTATAATAATTCTTAGAATTGCGAATTTCAACAGGAACTTTTTTAACTTTTTACGAACCAAACATTTCTCCTTTTCCTGTCAAACAGAGAGTCGACTAAGCTTGCAATGCCCTATAGAAGGAACTTTTGTAGGGCTTTAACCCCGGAATATCACTTAGCGGGCATTGTACTACTATTTTCTTATAGTTGCCTCTTGCTCCACATGTTTTCTGCCATTAGCAGTGAGAATCTGACTATCTTCGCTTTTTAGGTAGACGATATTCTGAGGTTTCTGGATGGCCAAAACTGCTCATTCTTGGCGATCGGCGATGCGGTATGGCAAACTGTACACCGGATTCACCCTGTACGATTCGAGGGTGAAATCAGTTGTCCTATGAAAGAGGTATCCTTTCAGCAACTAAATTAAACTCCAAATGAGCAGGGCGATTACTTTTGAAAAGTACTTATTGTAGTCGCTTTGTCTTATTGACCGCATGTTGCACAAATTTTGAAGTTAAGAACTCTGACGATTAGAAGTTTTGTGTTATAGTTGTACACAATCTGCTTAGCCAAATATGGCAATACCGCATGCAGTCTCTTCCCTTTGGAAGGACCATCTCCATACAAACTGGAAATCGGTGACGCTAGAGCAGATCGGTGAATGTAATTACCTGCCTACTTTGGCCATATGTATCTCAACTGAAGATTTATTTTCCAGGTCTTTGGATGAGCTAAAAGCACAACCACTGGTACTGTATGAATGGGGTTCAACACTTGGTTTACCCGCGCAACGATGGGGATACACTGTTACTACGATGGCTATATATGACAATAACGCTGGACAAGTGGTATGTTATCGCCATAGCAAAATAACAAAACTTTCCAGCTGCTGTCATTGAAAAGGTTGTCAAATAAGCGGTCGTCGTAATTTTCTCAACTGTTGAAGATAACAAATTCTTCGTTTAAAGTACTATATTCATTCGCTCACTGGTGTAATGATCAAAATATGCTTTTTGCAAATTCCTCGTAAATTACTACATTTTTTCAAATCCATCTCAATATTTATCTCTTTCGAAACCAACCGAATTTTAATTGGTAGAGGAAGTTCAAAATGAAAGTTTCATGGGAGCAATCTGACATGTGATAGCTCGTTGAAATTGATGCGTGCTCAGTCAAGCTTTCAGTTTGAAGATTTATAAGTTTTGCAAATTATGTTGAAGTGAATAGGAAAAGAAACTGTTAAAGGCAGTATCTCACCAAAATAATAAGAAAGATAGTTTTTTAATTTGTTACTCCGTTTCGTCCCTTTCCTTAGACGGAGTTTTGAGATCTAGACCCTCTCCGGGACTCTTCAGTAAGGAAAGAGGGTCTAGTTTTTATTTTCCAAAGAAATTATTTTGAAAAAATTGTAAAACTCAACTTATATTCTGATTGTCGTCCAATTCTTCTTTTCTGTCGTGTGATCTTCTGTGTTGCAAAGTAAGAATGGACTTGTCTTGACTTGTTTATTTTTATTGTATTATCATTTGTGTTGAATATATCATTCATACTTCGTTTCATACATATCGGTTGATACAATTTATGTTTATATTTTATAATATATTTTTTTGACTCAGTTTCTTAAATTCATCACTTAATATATTGCATTTATATAGTATGAATGGATTTCTATTTAAGCATTTGAAAATTGATGATGAAATTATATTTATGTCATATTCGTTTTTAAGTAGTATATCTCTGAGTTGTGAGATTTCTTGTAGAAAATCGTTTAAGTATGTACATGTTCTTGCTATTCTGAGAGTTTCTGTATATATGGTTGCCTTTTTAATGTTGAACGAGATACTAGATGTAGAATGTATGAATCTTTTAACGTTAAAATTAAAATAGTCAGTTTTATTATATAATTTTGTAATCAATTTATTGTTTATTATTTCAATGTTTAGGTCGAGATAGTTACAGGTATAAGTACTTAAGTGTGTAGCTTCTATTTGAAGTTTATGCTCGTAAATTTTTTTGACTAGCTTGTGGATAGTATTTTCTTCTATGTTATGAATAAGTAAAAGGTCATCCATATATCTGTAAGGTATTATTTGGAAATTGTTTGTGATATTTTTTATAGAATACTTATATTCGTACCAAGAAAGTGTAAGATCTGCTAATAGTGGGCTGAAGTTACCACCTTGAGGAACTCCAACTTTTTGTTTTAATGTATAAATGCTGAAGCGACAGAAACTATTATCTAGAATATAGTCTACTAAATATAATAAATCTATTAAAGTATAAGATCTGGATTTTGTACTCAAATGTGTCGTATCGCTGCTATGATAAATGTTATTGTTTCCATTGATTATAATGTATTTTTTATTTGCATTGTTGAAACATAGTTGTAAAAGTTCTTTTATATTGGATTTTATAATATCGTGGGGTAGGCTTGTAAACATATTTGTAAAATCAGCAGAGAAAATCTTCATATTTTTCATGCTGATATTTGTTAGATTTTCGCTGATGTTAATGTTATCTATAGCCCAGTATCCGTTAAAATTGTGATTTCTATTTTTTATAGCTTGCAAGTAGTTTTTGAAATGACTTTTAATGAATGTGAAAATCATTTTCAATTCGATAGCTAGTGGTTTTATACTGCTATGTGTAGCACCAGTTATGAATCTACATTTGGTAGGTGTTTTGTGTAATTTTGGTACTGCATATATGAGAGGAATGTTGTTAACTTTTTCTAAATGTAATTTATTGCTATTGCAAAAAATTTTGTCTTTCGATAATTTCTGTATTATTTTCCATTGTGTATATGTCATACGTTGAATTTTGTGAAATTTAAGGTTGAGGTCGCGCGGATTTTCATATTCTATTATCGGGACCTCTAAATAGGCCACTGCAACAAGTCCCACTCAATTTGAAGCCCTCCACGCTTAGAAAAATTCGCTCAAGGTGGTACGCGTAGAGCGAGTTGGTACGCGCGGACGACTCCTTCGGTCTCCCCCATTACGCGTTTGAACATGTCTCTCCACTTGGCATCCACCTCCCCTCTGTTGCTGCCACTGTGGCTGAGACTGAAGTTGGAAGGCACAACTCGTCCACGTTGCTTCCGCGGGGCCTCCAGAAAACGGGGTTTTGGGAACTTCGTGCGATTTTAAGCCCATACAGTGCTAGACAGGGTCCGACAGGCTTGCAAAATGCAAAAATCTCGGCAACTAAATTTTGGTGAGACACTGCCTTTAAACAATGAGCCTCTGCTAATCCGCGCACTTTCCTAGCGTTGTACACGAAGACGCTAACGAGAAGGAAAAATTCTGCAAAGAAATGAAAGACTTTCTTGAAATTTTCCCAAGACTCAACAAATCTTGAAATGTGCTAGGGAAACTAATTAATTCGTAATGTATCAGAAATCGGTGTCAGACTTAATTTCTCACAGTCCCTTGCATTAAAACTAAAGAAGGATTTCAAATTGCACACTTTCGATATTTGACATGTGGCGAACACCTGCCTTTTTCTAATTTACCGTTATTATAACAAGCAGTGAGGACAGTCTTTTGGTCCTCAAACACTGGTCTACTCGTATTGTACTCATCTATTGGGTTGGAAAGAAGGTTTTCTGACATTTTAAAATCAAAACTGTTATACCTTGAAATCTAATGCATAAAATTTGCAGCTGTACTCTCACTTGCCTGGTGCTGAAATATAAGCAAGTGGAAGGAGCCTGGAATAGATGGGGCGGAGTTTGCCACTTTTTAGTTAACTCGTTTTTCTTGTTGTTCAAGCTCGACTTCTATCCAAGCTGTGCGTGTAAGTATGTAAGTGGGTGTATACTAAAAACTGAAGCATGTGAGGGTTTCATATCCTCTATAGAAGTATGAGATCTGGGTTAGGGAGAAAACCTGTGCTTCAGAATTTTCGTTTGAATTTTCACTGAGAGTATTTATAAGCTTGCGCTTACCATAGTTTGTAGAAATTGCTTTCCTCTATCCAATGCAGGGGTGCGATAGTCGGAGCCGATTCTCCGCCTACCTTCACTTTTGAGCTGGTACAGGGTGAACGCCTTCACTTTTGGGTTTGAAAATTTGTTTTTGCTAAAGCTCAAAAGAAGGAAAATAAGCAAAAGGAATGTAAAAGAAAGTATTAAAAGCATATATCTATGTAGTAGGTCGATCCAGGCAGTAACCGCCGAGAACCAGAATTTCGAATGATAAAATAATGAGAAATCGTGAAAAATCATTCCACTGTTACAAATCTGCTGGCTGAAGACCTCCGCAGTTGCGACTTCATAGGTTTTGAAGGGTAAGTGTTGTTCCACCAGATAGTGTAAGAATCAGTTTGATTCGAGGAGTGGCCGCCGAGAACGAGAATTTTGAAAAACGTTAAAAATCTTCCCAATTTTAGGTTGCTTGATGACAACTGACATTTAAACTCTTATAAATCCGGACTTTGAAGGTGTGTGATGTTGCGACTTCATTTTGTAGGGTGAGGTTTGCCCTATCAGAATATGTCTTAGCTGTACCGATCCATTGAAACATCGCCGAGATCCAGGCTCTTAAAAAAGCAGGTAAAAAACAGTTTTTCAGCTCATAACTTCTTCAGAATTGCATAATTCATGTTGCGACTTCATAGATTGGATTCTCCTCATCAAGAGCTTTCAAATGATATATAATATGTGGGGGATTCACGCCTCCCACGGCATATGCCCGGGGGTGGAGTACCTCTCTTCACTAATTCTCCACTGGCGGCCTCCCGCCAATACATTGAAATGGGCGGGGTGGAGAATTAGTGAAGAGGAGTACTCCACCCCGAGTTAAAGCCGCAAGAAACATTGAATCCCCCACATATTATATATAATTTGAAAGCTCTATGAAGTCGCAACATGAATTATGCAATTCTGAAGAAGTTATGAGCTGAAAAACGGTTTTTTACCTGCTTTTTTAAGAGCCTGGATCTCGGCGATGTTTCAATGGATCGGTACAGCTAAGAGATATTCTGATAGGGCAAACCTCACCCTACAAAACCTATGAAGTCGCAACATCACACACCTTCAAAGTCCGGATTTATAAGAGTTTAAATGTCAGTTGTCATCAAGCAACCTAAAATTGGGAAGATTTTTAACGTTTTTCAAAATTCTCGTTCTCGGCGGCCACTCCTCGAATCAAACTGATCCTTACACTATCTGGTGGAACAACACTTACCCTTCAAAACCTATGAAGTCGCAACTGCGGAGGTCTTCAGCCAGCAGATTTGTAACAGTGGAATGATTTTTCACGATTTCTCATTATTTTATCATTCGAAATTCTGGTTCTCGGCGGTTACTGCCTGGATCGACCTACTTTCTTCGCTGTACATTATAACAAAATTCATTTGATAAAATACGTACAGTTCCGCTGAGTTTTACTTCCAAATACACTATTTGATAGGCACGTTTACTCTAGATATTTATAACGCTGTTTACATAAAAATATGCTTTCAATGATCCCTTTTGCATTTGTTTTGCTTATTTTCCGCGCACTAACGGCAATGACCTGGAAGATAAACGTTAATGCTCTCCCCCCCTCCCGGTCGACGTTTTTGGGAGATGAGTGTCCGGCACTACCACCTTCACTTTTGCCGGCCAGTGGTAGCTGGGACCACCTTCACTTTTGGGCCCGGCTCCCCCCATCGCACCTCTGAACCAATGGTGTGCAGCAAGCCCCAATTAGTGCTTACATTGAAACAAAAACTTTGTCTAGGCAATGTCCGAGACCTTTCTTTCCAACATGATATTTTGCTAGGTAATAGCTGCATCTATAAGATTTTTGGATGGAGAGCTCAGACCGATTGTTTAGGTTTACTTGATAATCTCTTAGTATCAGCGGATCTTTCTGGCGCTTTAGAAATATTAAGGTAAAAACTGTTCTTGACAAATCATTGTTTTTTTTGCTCAAACTAGCTTTAATTAGACGAAATCAAAGTGCACAAAAACTACAGGAAATTTATTCATTTTACCAATACTATCATACATAAGGCATAATCGTATTACACTTGTCCTTAACTGGAAAAAATCAGTGACAGTGGGAAAACAAAAAATATTTCAAAATTTTTATATGTTTCTACACTGCAATTTTCTCGTGATGGTATGGTCGCTACATGCGAAACTCACTATGATGTGTACAAGGGTACAAATCTTTTGCAACTTCATCCCACAGCCTATTTTTATTCATTCGCAGTACCTAATAGACATGACGGGAAAAGGCTACATGGACACTTGCGGCAAACGGATATCAGCTGCTGTCGACAACTCTCAATGGAAAGCTTGGGCTGACGGAGACATATCGAAGGTTTATCGGTCAGTTCCTTCATACGCTTACGCATTCAGCCTTCTGTTCAGATCTGCTTTCAGATTCTACCTCTTGAGAACTCAGGGGTTTGGTGTATCCAACCATGATCTGCAAAATTTTATAAACAAAATGATTCAAAGCGAGTCTAACAAAAAGGTACATTTCATCATTTATTGCACTCCATAGCTGTTAGATGACATTTTTCATGAGAACAAATCGTTCCAATATTAACTTTGAAAAAGTCCTGATGTGTAGTTTTGTTCAAGAGGACCCTTTTTGCTTTTGCTGCATTGAACTGCTCAGCCTAAACCCAGCGAACTAAAAAGTAAGTAAAAGTTGCAGAGATTCTTCGATTTGCAGTTTTCATTCTGCAATGGCCTTCAAATATTCCCACTGTGTCTGATTTTTGAACTGAAGTGCCACTTTTCTTCGCTAGTCTTTCCGCAGAAAATTGTTGATCGAAGATTCAAAACCTTTTGGAGAGGAAGACCCTCCAAGTACGTGATAAACTAAGAAATTGTTGAAAGATGCGCCGGAAAGCGCAGTAAATCAGGTGCCTGGGATTACAAATTGCTCAAGTGTTCTTTACTATAGAATAGAAACAAAAAGAAAAATCTTCGCATCAGCAACTAGGTCGGAAGTAAATCCCTTTAACAGTCATGAAATATGTAGATTATAGATTCAATCTAATTCACTAGTTTATTCTCCTCTTTCTCAAATGGTGTTGCAGGTTGCACAAACGTTCTACTGCGAATCAATTTTGGGTGGGATTGTTTCATGGGCTGGGGACGGTCTGACAACTACTTGCCATGTTATGTATCCCGACAATACGGACAGGCGCAGGATAGTCAGCGCAAGAGATCTGCTAAGCTCTGAAATGGGTAAAAACCAATACACCGCTTCCGTTTCACGCGTATAAATGGTTGCTCCTATAGGGGCTCACTGGATTGTTAATACCGCCCCAGCGATTGACGAAATGGAAGCGGTCTACCTTACTGAGCGACAGTTCGTTGATGTAAGAGATCGTCTAAAGGGACGAATCACTGGAGGTATGTAGGGAGCGTTTTATACCGATTTTCGAACGAAACAAGATTAGAAATATGTATTTCTTAGGTCAGTCCGAAAATAATTTCGCTCGTTTAAAACGGGCGCCACATGTGATGGAACAAAGATTCCTAAGAGATTTTGGAAGCATTCGATGCAGAATTCCATCCTTCAAGCAGCTTTTGAAAAATTACGAAAGTCCGCGATCCATGTTTTTTTTTTGAGATGCTCAAGTTTCACAATTTTTCTAAACTTGTACGTCAATCCTCCAAAAGAATCCAAGTAACAATTCGATAGAGCAAACCCCACAGGATACAAAAACATTTCTCCTTCACAAAACTCCTAAAAATTTTCTAATGGAATCTTGATTGATGCTACCAATTTACATTCTTGGTCAACTCAAACATCGTAGATCATAAAACAGTAAGCAGCTCAAGTGTCATTCGATGCAGCTTGTTCTCCTTTATCTAATGGATGCATTTTGTTTCCCCTTCGTGGAGTTTTCGCGTATAAAATCATCATAATTCATATTTTCGAACGCGCTCCGGGCTGTACATGGAAAAATCGAAATTGGATATTTCGATTCTAAACTCTCATTCGCTTTGCAAAATTAGTGCTAAATCGTAATACCATCTTGGAATTTTAAAATTCCAAAGATTTATAGGAGTTTGATGCGAATATGGCTGAGGGATGCGAATGTGCTTAGGCCTGTCAAAATTCGATGGTTTTAATAATAAGTCTTTTAAGAAAAAATTATGGCGAGATATAAAAACGAGAAAAAAGCTGCGCCATATCCTATGAGGTTTGTTCTATCGAATAGTTACTTGGACTCCTTCGGAGGATTGATGTAAAAATTTAGAAAAATTGTAAAACTTGAGCATCTCAAAAAGCATAGATTGCAGGCTTTCGTAATTTTCTAAAAGCTCATTGACTGTGCTGCAATAGTTTTATAAATATTAGAAAGAAGATGAAATTCTGCATCGAATGCTACCAGGATCTCTTAGAAATCTTTGGTCCATCACATGTGGCGCCCGTTTGAAACAAGCGAAGTTATTTTCGGAATGACCTAATATATGTCTGTAGAATGAAAGATGACCCACTGTTCTTCTGTGTAGCACCTTTCGCTGCTTCCTTGTTATCCATTAGGTCGTTCCATAAGTTCGTAGCGTTTTTAACAACAAACGAATCATCAATCTACAGTAAAAACAATCAAAATCATATTCCCCTTGTAACGCACGACCTTTTGGCACAGTGTTGTTAGCTTCTCGATCTCAATTTTTCAAGCGGCAGCGCGTCAGGTCCCAAGAAAGTCATCTAAACAACTAATCACTTACTGAAACCGCGACATGCACCATTTATGATGTTTGCTAGATAGTGGAGCAAATGATAATCTGATAGAGCGAGATTTGGAGAGTACGTTGGGTACTGAAGCGCCTTCCAGTCAAGTCGTGCAGGACAGTTTTGACGACGTTTGCCGTAGGAAGCCATGTTTTGTCATGCAGAAAAACCCACTGGATGTCTGATAGGGTCTTTCTGCGGTAGGACCTGGTTTAGACGGTGCAGCTGGATTGCTTACGGTATGCTTTGACCACCGCCTACTTGTACAACAATTTTCAGTGCAGGACTTCTTGCCCGTCCCCGAAAAGTCGGGTAGGGGAATGAAAGCCGCCAGTTTGAGTCGTCTCCGCGGTGGAAAGACATGTAACAACACTGCAAAAGGACCAATTGGTCGCGAAAGACGGCTCAAACTGGCGGCCTTCGTTCCCCTACCCTCGATAAGTCTTGTTCAGGGACACCCTGCTCAGCCTCTGATCTTTTGTAGCAATTCAGTCCTTTTTTGTCACATATTGATGTGCGAGTGCCATGTTCTACAACCGACAAAAAATTTGTGAAAAACCGCTTCTTTTCATAAGGAAAAATGTAAAATTCGAAATTGCTCCTTTTTGCCTTTCAAGATTTCCATCTTTGAAAGCTGCGAGTTCCGAGTAAATCAGCTTTTCAGCGGTATCGGTATACATATTTTGAGCACAATTAGCCCTTTCAAATGATGCACTCATCTTGCCGCAAATCAACCGATCCTCAAAGATATAGGGACGAAAATTAAAACGCTACCAACTTATGGAACGACCTAATACTTCTGGGATATCTCATAGTAGCAGTGTTTCTTATACCTCCTCTCTTTAGCTTAACCTAAATCCAGTCAGTTCTAATTTCCAGATCCTGTTTTTGGTGCTTCTGACCCTCTTCGACTAGGAATCCCTACCGTAAATGACATAGCGGAAGTCCAACGAAGGCCGCTTTTGAAATTAGAAACTACGAGCGACGTTTCATCGGCCTCTGACGAAGTCTTAGATGTCGAATCCAGTGAAGAAGCCGAAAACACTTCGGCCGAAACAAGTGAGTGCGAGCACAGTTTATAAAAAATTGATTGCTTGGTTTTGAGTGTAACGAAAACCAAACCGTTGCAACTAGGTTTTCCATATCTTTTGAGAATCTTGAAGTTATTTCAAATGATCCAGAATATCAGTTAAGTGTAATTTTTCCGTAATCCGACTTCTCCTACACTTAAAACTCCAGTTTTCAAAAGTTCGGTCAAGCTCGACTTTACTTGGTCCTTCACAACATTTTTTCAATGAATTAAGGAGTTCTTATCTTCTCAAAACACATGCTACTGAACACTGATAGAGCTGTTTGTTTGGGCTTCTCAATGACGCAGTCACCAGAGCCGGTAGTAATCTACCCTACCTGGTGGCATCATAGATGCCGGCAAGTTGGCACACATCGCGGAAAGATGCCAACTCCGCCGGCAGCTCGCGGAGTGATTGTAGGTTTTAATAATCTTACGTAACCTTAGCACGCAATCATTTCGCACATTAAATTTTGATGACGCAGACTGCCGCAAAATTACTACCTCGCGCGCGGTCGAACCTATGTGCGTTAACTCGAATTGCCAGCACGTTAACCATTCGACCATTCGGTCAGCAACTGCCGCTTGCACCAGCAATGGGAGGAACGCGCTGGTAAATGGCTGCCTGTAAGAGGGATCGATACATTGCGTGAGAGACTTTGACCTGAAAGAACAGCTGACTGATATGAGCGAGAGGGGCAAAATTGGTGCAAACGAGATTTATAAGGGATTGCCAAAAAAGGTGGTGATCTTTATGATTCTAAGGCATTACTGAATTTTTTCTCTGTAAGAAAATCGTCGTTTTAAAAAAGAAAAACTCATATAATGAGAAAAATGATAGTTTTTTGATAAAAAGTAGAATTTTTGATTTTTTCGCCTGACGTAAATTGTGTGATATCGCCGCAATTCGCAATCTTGCAGACGCCGCCGGCAAAGGTGCCACCACCTCGACGTGGTAGGGGCACGTCGAGATGCGGGCAGCTCCCTCTCTCAAAAGAGCACGGTATTTCCCGTGCTCTCTGACCTGCCGGCAGATGCCATCTCGCGGATTTCGGTGAGCTGCCGGCAGGTTGCCGGCAAATGACATCGCGAAGTTGCCGGCAGCTCCTCCTGCGCTTCCAGATATTTTACCAAAGGAGGAGTTCTGGAACCGCAGACTTTTATGGGGTTTTCTACAGAGTCGAGGCAGCATCTTTATCGAGAAAATTTTTTGGAATAAGGCCTGGGACGGCCTAAATTTGGGGTCTCACTTTCGGGCCTCACGGAAAAGGTGCCAGCGACCTGCCGACGAGACCTGCCGCCAGGTCGGGGAGATTACTACCGGCCCAGAATTCTAGCCAGAAATAACTTTCTCTAGCACGAGCGACACATATCTATGACCATGGGACATGCCGCATTTTTGGTTTTTCCCATTTTTGCCTTCAAAATCATCTATCAGAGCTCAGTGATATTCGAGACAATATCGCTCACCACCAAAATGGCTTTCATAGATGTTGGAATCTTCTTCGATTGATTATTGGGTGATTTATAATCAACGCACATTTTTCTGACGTCTTATTAGGTTAATAATTAATGCACGTCATTCTAACGTCTTCTTCTTTGAAGCTGATTTGCATATAAGAACATTTTTCCTAGAAACTTTCCATTACATCTAAAATTGCGCTTATTCTAGTTTTTATAATGCTTTCGCTTTCGCCAGTTTTTATCCATAGGAGGTTTTGACTTTGAAGATAAGCGATTGAAACTTGAATTCTTTCCTTTCGCCTGTCCGTTTTGAACTGATATGAATTGATACTTAATATTCAGACCAGGGCTCGGCACAGCTGGCACCGGGCCAAGCTGGATATCGTTTTTGGGGTGGAAAGGAAAGGAAGTATCGTTTTTGCGGGTTAGATGCCGCTGTTAGAATGCCAGGTGCAAGCCGCCGGCAAGTCGCCAGCATGCCCCTAGGAAAAACAAAGGCCTTTTTTACAATCAAAACGCAATCACATGACACCAAATTTGGTGTGTGCATGCGCGTTGGGGGAATCGAACTATGGTCCAAAAATTTATGAAAACTTATGTGAATGAAAGCTGTGCTGAACTTTTTTTTGAATTAGCTGGCACCGTGCCAGCTGGGTGCCAGCTGAGCTGGCACCGACCCTTTGCTCACATAAGTTTTCATACTTTTTTACATGAATTGTATCTGCACTGTAAAAGTTTACATACAGAGCAAAAACAATTTCATAATGTTTTCTTTTCGGCGTTTTATAACCATCTGAAAACTACTCGGTCTGCTCCGCAGTCGAAAAATCTGCTCCAATCACAAAGCACGCCCTAAGCAAAGGCAAAACACGTCAAAGGGGACTTCGTAGGAAACTTTTAAGATCAAAGGGGACTTCGTTCTAGAATCTTCCTGGTGCCAGCTCGTGCTGAGCCCTGATTCAGACCTTTGCATATCAAAATTATCAACTTTTGTGGTATAGAATGTTCACCAAGTTTGGTTGTTTGATAAAAGCCAAAACACAAAGTTGGCTGGTCCCTGAAACCATTCGGTGGTAATAAAAACTTTGAAAGGGTTTGACGAGAACTACTGCAGAACTTTTGCTCTGTACAGCCAAAGTAAACTTAATACATCTGATAATAAAAAAATTTCTCACATCCTAGGAAGGAAGTTGGAGTATTCCAAATGAAGCAGTTTTTGCCTCTTTCAAATGCCGGAAATGGTAGTTTTCGGCTTCTTTACAATATTTTCTGGCGAATGAGATCCGTAAAATTCAAGCTTTACGTCTGTGCTCAACCGTTCATCGGTTTTACATTGAGCAAAATATCCTAATACATACATTTGGGAGTGCTATTTCGATTCAGAAAAAAATTTTGGGCCGACTTCGGGCTATTAAATTTTTCTCGTAGACTACAATTACAAGTAGGTGTTAGCGGAAGCTATGCTGTTTGCAAAAGTTCTCACTGCGTTTAACAAGAGAGGGTCAGAGGAAAATTTACCTCGAAAATTTGAACTGCAGGTACTGTCTAAGATTATACAAGGTGTCCCAAAAGTATGTATGCACTCTTTGATCGTTAATATCTCTCTTCCCCAGAAGTCTTTTGCCTTGCTTCAGATACCGTTTTGTAGAGCTGGCTTCAACTTAGATTTGCAGTGTAGAACGAATCACCCATCTCCCCTCATTACTGTAGGATTACGGTAGAAACTTCAAAGAGGATTTTGAGCCATGAATGGCCATATTTTGCCTCCGAAAGGAAACAAAACAGCCTGAAAACTTTTGCACTAGGCTAGTTAGAGTTGTTGATTCTAACTGTAAAGTTCCCAACTTTTTATGATGCTATGGCCATTCATTGAAGAGTTATGCCGGGTAAGAGGTAGCAGCAATTTTTTCAATGTTACTAAAAAGTGCGGTTACACCATTTAGAAAGCTTCGCAATCTTGTGAATAGTTGAGTATTGAACGCAGCGTCCATAAAAACCCTATTAAACAAGTTTTCACATTTTTTTGAAGAATTTTGAAACGGCAGCTTTTTCCACATTAGCACCATATGTTTCAAGTTTCCACCGTAATCCTACAGTAATGAAGAGAGATTGATGATTCGTTCTATACTGCAAATCTAAGTTGAAGCCAGCTCTACAAAACGGTACCTGAAGCAAGGCAAAAGACTCCTTGGGAAGAGAGATATTAACGATCAAACAGTGCATACATACTTTTGGGACACCCTGTATATGAACCTAATATCTCGAAACCAGCACCACAAAAAAAAATTTTTTGCATGCCTGCAAAAAAATCGTATAGAATCCTTATCTTTTTTCAGCTCCTATGAGTGAGGAAACAACCACCAGCGAGGAGGCTCACATACCGAAGCGAGACACAGGCATGATTCGCAGTGTCGAACCGCAGACGAATTCGTCCGCATCCACTACTGAACCTTCATTTATTCTGACTGATGACGGGATTAGCTCAGAGGAATTCGAGGATGACGCGCTCAAAGCAGATCCTTCATCCCAACAATCCTTGAGCTTAGATTACTTAACAACATCTCTCTATATGGCATTCGTAGTGTTTGTGATCATTACGGATGTTTAAATCAACGCAGTTCGTTTTGTAAATACTTGGCTATCATAAAGTAGGAGTCACGCCATTTGAACGATTTACGCATAATTTGTCTGATGATTACATTCCCCACTAATCAATCACGAGACAGTTTTTAGGAGAATGAGATTCAATTTATTGTGCCGACAGCTTTTTGCTTTTTATCGATTATAATTGTACTCCTTTTTCGTGATGTACTATAAATTATACAGGTCTTGATAAATGTGTATATTAAGTACTGATATTAGGTCGTTTCAAAAGTAATTTCGCTTTTTTCAAACGGGCGTCACATTTGATGGAATAAAGGTTTTTGAGAGAACTTGGAAGCATTCGATGCAGCATTTCATTTTCTTTTTAATAGTTATGAAATTTTTGCAAAACAGTCAATGAGCTTTCAGAAAATGACCAAAATCTGCGACCCATGCTTTTTGAGATGGTCAAGTTTCACGATTTTTAAAAACTTTCATAACAATCCTCAGAAGGAGTTCAAGTAACGGTTCGATAGAGTAAACCTTACAGAATACAGTACTGCTTTTTTCTCTTTCTTGTAACTCGCCGTAATTTTTTAAAAGATTTTTTAACAGAACCATCGGATTTTGGCAGGCCCACCTCAGCCACAATCACATCAAACATCATGATTATTCGGAATTTGAGACTACCAAGATGGTACTATGAGTAAGCATTAAGTTTACAAAGCAAGTGAGGGCTTACGGGTTCGAAATATCAAATTTCGAGTTTTTCGGGTACAGCCTGGGGCTCGCCAAAAAAATAAGTTATGATGATTTCTCCACGGAAGCTAAACGAATCTGAAACAAAAACCTCCGCTAGAAAGAGAAGAAAATGCTGCATCGAATAGTGCGCGAGCTGCTCTTCTTTTGATGTTCGACGAGGATTTAGGTATGGAAATCGGTAGCATCACTTAAAATTCTGTTAAAAATGTATGGCAAGCTACGGAAAGGAGAAAAACGTAGTGCTGTATTCTGTAAGATTTGCTCTATCGAATCGTTACTTAAACTCCTTCTGAGGATTGATACGAAAGTTTTGAAAAATCGTGAAACTTGACCATCTCAAAAAGCATGGGTTGCAAATTTTGGTTATTTTCTGAAAGCTCATTGACTGTTTTTGCAAAAAGTACATAACCATTAGAAAGAGAATGAAATGCTGCATCGAATGCTTCCAAGATCTCTCAAAAACCTTTATTCCATCAAATGTGACGCCCGTTTGAAAAAAGCGAAATTACTTTTGAAACGACCTAATATATATGATGAAAGATGTATGTCTGTTATAGAAGGGTCCTACCAGCCGCAAAACAAATGAAGATTATTTTTCTCAGCATCTCTTTCCTGGCATAGTGCCTCTTTGTTGAAATTCTAGAAAGGTTTCAGCGTCAGATAACTTGATGATGTGCTCATAACATCAAGCAAATAAGTATCACTCAGTGGCGTACCGAGGGGGGGGGCGGGGGGGGGGGGGGGGCGCGCGCCCCCCCCCCCCCCCGAGAACGGGTCGCGAAATTTTTGAAAGTTACTTACATGGGTCATAAAAATGTGCAAGTGACTTGTTTTTACTTGTAAATAATTAAAATAATTTTTGAAATTTTTTAAAAATTCATTTTAGCCTTATAAAAAAATTTTTTTCGGGGGCGTGGCTGACGCCACGCCCCCTTTTTCCAGATTTTAGGAGTCGGGGACCCGGAAAAATTTTGAGAAGCACCCCAAAAATTTTTTCGGAGTGCGTGGCTAACGCCACGCACCATCTTTAGAAAAAAAAATTTTGTCGCGCCCCCCCCCCGAGCCGAAATCCTGGGTACGCCACTGGTATCACTGACTGTACTATATTCGGAATGAATTTCGAATTTCATCTCGGCTATTTACCTTTGGACATTAACGGCTCCAAAGTGAGTTGCAGGCCACTTGTCTGTTGTTATCATAAAATACATTCATTCTCTCTATGGAACTTATCCCATCCGGGCTCATAGAAAAAATTATTGTTTGGAGGCAAGAAAAGCTGAAGAAAAACTCACAATCAGATCTAGGCGGTTTGAAAACCGAAATTCTTTGCCTGACATCTACAAATGGCTCTGCCATTCGACAGTATGGTCATCAACAAGATGAAACATCGTACGAGTTTGGTTTTATTCGCATAATAAAAGCACCTCATATGGAGATGTTCGTTCTTCAAGAAGGCGTCTATAACACAAGAAAGGTAAGCGACTCAAAAGGTGGTGGAAAAAGCAAAAAGGGTCAATGTCAGGATCAAAAGAGGTTCAATGGGAAGAGCAAGAAGGAATCTCAAAATTAAGAGTTAGAAGTCTCCCACTTGTGTTAATAATACAACGGTTGGATTAGAAATTAGCAATTTATTCTAAAAACTGTGCAGTCAAAATGAAGAAAAAAAGCCTAATCAAAAAAGTAGACCAGCTATTACTAGCTTTTCCAACCAACGACAACTTATTCCTGCCACTTCACCACTTTTCCGTAAGTGCAGCACCTTAAATTTTTTTTCTGCGTAGATTCTGCTCAGACCTTGCCTAGAAGGGTTATTCGATTCGTTGTGCCGAGTAATACACCAATTTTGCGCGGTAGCGCCATTTTGGGGGTTAAGGTGGGTGGTATGAGGTCATGAATCCTTTGAACGTAGCCCAGGGGAATTATTTGACATGTCGCGAACATCATACTCTTCTTGATAGGGACATTTTCGCGGAGTTACAGTAGGTATATGGTAGGGGTTCAAAACCATTGATCTGCCTGAGATTTGTGCAAGGGGTTTATCTGACTTGCTGATCACGAAATCATGTTCCTTTCGCTTGATAAAGCCTTTACCTCGGTTTTTGTGACCTGCTTTGACCTGAAATTTGAAAAATTTCTATCCATACACTGCAAAATTACCGTTAAATGTACAATAAGGCACTATTGCAAATGCAAGCATGATATTCATAATCAGCATGCTTGAAAACCTCTCTAGGCAAAGTTTTGAGCAAATTTGACATTTACCCACCTACCGTACACCCACCGCAACCCAAAAATGCGGTATTTTGAGAAATCAATATTATATTCATGGTCAGCGAGCATAGTGTATGATGTTCGCGATATGTCGAATACCCCTCCCCCTCCCCCCACGCAGAGCTTAGAGCAATTTCATGGTTTTGAACTCATGCTACGTACCCACCATAACTCCTAAAAATGCGCCAAAATGCAAAAAGAGTGTGATACTCGTAATCAACATGCCGAAGACCCTCCCCAAGCCAAGTCAGCGAAATCCACGATTTTGACCCTTTAGCGTATGCCACCGTAGCCCCAGAAAGTGGCGATATCGCCGAAATAAACGTGAGATCCGGCATCAGCGGGTCGAATAACCGCCATAGACCGAGTTTGAGCCAAAATTCACGAGAAAAGAACTTTTGGAGCCCGGGTAACCGAATAGCGTCTCGAAAACCATCCGAAAAACCCCATTCCCTAGTTTGCCCGGCGAAGAGCTTCTGAGAGGCAGTTTTGGAATTGACGCCTACGGTAGGTGCCAGAGTAAGCGAACATTTTGTTCAGCTTCATTCAGCTGCAGAAGGCGCGCAGAACTAATGTCTGCTGCATAATCTCTACTGCTGCCAAGGCCTGTCAGCTGCAGGTCCCGCGCAGAATCAACGTTGATTCTGCGCGCCTTTTGCGCTGAACGAAGCTGAACGAAATATTCGCTTACTCTGGCACTTACCTTCTGCAGAAGGTAAGTGCCGAGGGGTGAAGCATGCTTCACACCCGGCGACGGCGCAAATTGCGTGTAATACGCATTTGCACAGCAGACGTTTGACTAAACGGTATATGTGAATTGCGCGCTCAATCCCCGCGGAAAGAATTTGTTTATTTTCTTCCATTTTTTTTTCACTGATGGATCATCCAATTTATGTACTTGTTCACGCAAGTTCCCCTCATTTCGTGCCTGGTGCAGATATTTTCTTCTATTTGTGAATACAGCATTTTCTTCTCTATAGACGGTCCGTTCTTCCGCGATTTTGTTTATCCACTTGCCATTTATGTCCTTCAGTAAATTAAGCAATGCACAGATTCATTCGATTATCTAAGCTAAGATATTATGGAGGGGCATGTATACAGTCAAACATTGAATGTGCAAATATGTGTCTGTGGTCAGCCAATTATTACTACTTCCTGAAAGCTGGCCAAATGAACTTTCAAGCGCTAATTGTTAACTCCGCAACTTTATTAGCGGTTCGTGCAGCAGATACGGAAAGCAGATTTAAATCTGTTCAAATCTGTTAATCTTTTTAATCTGTTTGTTTCTCTTTTAAGACGCATAAATTCCGTTTTTCCAGATTGCCGGTGCGAGTTGGTATCCTTCCCTGGTCACTCTGAGATTCTAGCCCTGTCCATTAAATTTTATCCTCACCTATTCTGTAGTTTGAGGCCCTTCCACCACACTGTTGAGTGATGGGAGGGGAGGAGCTCATTTTTGAAGGGTGCAACTTCTTCCGACAACGGCTGACCTTTTCTGTATTGAGTGGTCGACCCGTAACTATTCAGAACATTAGGAAAGATGATGATGCGCCTGGGATAAAAGGTTTGGCAAATTTCTGTTACTTGTTGCTAGTATACATTTCATCTTTTTTAGATTTTGAGGCAAAGCTTCTTTCACTTTTGGAGAGGATAACAAATGGAACAAGAGTTGAGATAAATAGTACTGGTAGGTTTTTGGTTCCAACTAATAAGTAAGCTTACCCTAATTTCACGTGTAGAGATAAACCTGCTTTTTTCCCAAACTCGACTAGCCTGAGCATACCAGAAATCTTTGCGATTAAGGAACCCTCTACCATGCGGCTTTTTACCTAAAAATTGTAGGGAGAGAAACCATTGCAAAGCACAGTGGTGCGGTCGAGCTGCTTGCTTGAAAAAATGAAAAAGGTGCCTCTTGTACTCGTGAAATTAGGGTAAATTGGAATTTTTTATTCCATTTTTGATTACCTATTTGTGTAAACGGTGCTCCCTGGTGACGTCCAAAATTTCTCACATTTACATTGACTCATATATGGAATTAGAGATTTTTTACAGGTACGGAAGTACGTTTTCGTCCTGGTATTATCATTGGAGGAGTGCTGACTATGGACTGTGGCTCCGATCGGTGTTTGTCGTATTTCCTAGAGCCCATGATCATTATCTCACCGTTTTGTAAGAACGCAATGACGTTGAAGTTGAAAGGTGCGCGTCGGCTTCGCTAATTATACTTTTTTGGTCGTGTAGCTGAGCATCATTTCATCATTTAAGGAGTGACGAATGCATCGAATGAGATCTCTGTTGATGCGATAAAGTCTACGTGGCTTACTGTTTACAATAAGTTTGTCCTTAATGACGAAAAACTAGAGTTGAAGGTAGGCTTGATAATGCCCTTCTTTTACACTGTTATTCGTTGTTAAACAGATAAGTGCACGGGGGTTGAAGCCGGCAGGTGGTGGCTGCATATTATTTTCCGCGCCTATTGTGAAAACCTTGCGGCCCGTACAGGTATTTAAGTCTCTGATTGTTTCGCTCTGAACCAACATTATTTGTAGCGCCCTAAATCCGGCAAGATTTGCAAGATTCGCGGTCAAGCTTATGTAACGAAGGTAACTCCGTCCCTCGCATACCGTATGATCGATGCAGCAAAGAAGATGCTTCATGGCTACATTTCTGATGTATACATCACTGTCGATCAACGTAAGGGAGACGCGGGAGGAAAGTTAGTAGTCTTGGAAGCATTTTCCATATGTATCAACTCAAGACAGTGCTGTTCTAGCTCGCCTGGATATGGGTTATTTTTGACGGCAGAGACGACTGAAGGAGTTGTTTATCATGGGGAAGCCATTTCCAAACCAAAAGGAGAGGCTGGAGACCCAATTGTCCCGGAAGATGTTGGGACAAACGCCGCATCTGCTTTACTTGAAGAGATTTGCAGGGTAATTTGTAATCATCGTTCATTTTTTTTTCGCTTACGTTATGAATCCTTCGAACGTCTAGTTTGGAATTTTTACTCGAACGATCGCGCAAAATTCAATTTGCGGGCGGGCCAGCTTACTATTTTCCAGTGGCGTACCGAGGGGGGGGGGGCGCGCCCCCGCAGAGGGTCGCGAAGTTTTTGAAAGTTACTTACATGAGCTATAAAAATGTGCAAATGACTTGTTTATTTTGGTAAACAGTTAAAATAATTTTTTAAATTTTTTAAAAATACAAATAAGCCTTATAAAAAAAATTTCCGGGGGCGTGGCTGACGCCACGCACCTTCATTTTGAAAAAAATTTTTTGCCTCCTCCCCCCCCCCCCGCCCCCGAGCCAAATCCTGGGTACGCCACTGCTATTTTCGTATGTGTTTTGATAGAATTTTTCGGCCTATATCCTGCTGTGTAATGAAGAACCATAGTGCATCCAATCTTTGGTTTCCTCATCGTATAAGGACGACTGAGGGAGCGAGAGAGCGACGTGGAGTGATTAGCAAAAAAATCCTTGATTCAATTGGAAGGAAGCAGGGCTACTCTCAGTATATATCATTGTTCTCGCGCGGTGAGCAATAGAGTGTGAAGAGACTCTTAGTATTGTAAGAGTAGTAAGAGACTCTTAGTGTCGTCTTCACACTAACGCCCTTTTCACGCAATGGCGTTAGTGTGAAGACGGAGCTTGTTAGTGCATTGCTTCCTCCAAGATCAAATTTCGTGAGCGGCAAGTAATTTACTGCTGATATGTGAATTTCAGGAATACATTTATAGTCTCTAGAAATTACTCTGTCCCCCCACATTTGTTAATAAAAGTCCTTTTATTGACGAATTCTTTCACCAGCTCATTGCCATATCTAGGGAGGGTGCCTAGACAGCTCTGCACAGACGCTAGCTTGCGCATTCATGGCTCTTGGACAGAAAGATGTTTCAAAATTTCTTTTTGGCCCGCTAACCGTTTATAGGTAAGTCTGAATCTGAATTTTGTTACTATAGGTTCTAAAGCATTTTTTCATAGTGTTCACACCTTACGACATCTCAAGAGCTTTTTCGAAGTGCAGTTCAAAATAGATGAGTGGAGTAGGCTCAAGGCCGGAGACGGGAAGGAAGAGGAAGATGTTTTACGGATAGGAAGCGAACAGAAGGCAATGGTTACAGCTATGGGGATAGGCTTCAGCAATCTCAACAAAACAGTTTTGTAGCATCTTCGCATTTTCGTTATCTCTTTTGTTACCAATCTTTGTTGATTTGTTCTTGTTATATGAATGTACAAAATAAATATATCGACCTTTTTGAAAATGTTCCTACGATCAGGATGCTTCTTCCTCTTTTCTTATACACTTGGTGCTTGCTAGTTACCGTACAGTAATTTGCAGTTCAGAAATGTTTGGACTACCGATGTCTGACGATGTATGGGGTTTCTTCATCGAAAAACACGAGGCTGCAAAACCTGATGATTATGTCACACATCTAGAAGAATGGGAATGGAACTGGCTTTCGCAAGTGGAAGCACTTGCACGTGAAGATTTGGATTTGTCTGATCCCTTTGCTCCTGCTCTTCATTTCGCATTACGGTATGCTTGCATCTTTTTGTCGAATGAGTTGGGAAAATTTTGCGAAAATTGTCTCATATGTGCCTTCTCCGAAGCCATAGAAGCTTTGTTAGGTGGCTATCATGCTGTCGTGCTTGAGTCTTTACTACGAACAAATGCATAGTCATGTTTTTCCTAGGTGCGATGAGTACTGGATCGTTATGCACGCAAGAAGGGGTTTCCCAGCCGAACCGCCTGCCTTGAATTGCGCATATCAACAAGGGTTCTCTTTCGATTGGTACGTCTTTGGAGAATCGGAAGAACAGGTAAGTCTTTGTGACTTTCTACTATTCTATAGAGATTAGCTTATCTGTGACAAGCTACAGCCTTCGACTCTCTGTGATATTGTTCGCCTTTATCGCGAGTACTGTGATGTGCTCGATCTGACGGTATCACAGCTCAAATTACTTGAAAACAGCTTCACTTCTTTGATTGGCTATGCATTACATGAGGAGGATAAAGATTGTTTCGCCGTGAAGTTATCTCTGAAGGTAGGTTGTTGACTATTCACAAGAAGCCATTTGTCCATTGTCTATTTGTCTATGATGTGTGGGCTTTACTTCAGTCTGCTGTAGATGAAGTTTTGACGATTCTTGTTGATTGGCGCAATCCTTTGGATTTCCCACGTCATCTGTCTAGCACTAACGAAAAGAGGTTTTCCGACTTGAATTGTGATTTGTGGGATGGAAATGACGACCTACATGTGAATATACAGAGAATAATCAATGGTCAAACTGAAGGTGAGTTCCGTTCATCATTCTGATATCATGAAATCCGTCGTTTTTTCCCTTCTTTAGAAGCTTGTAACTTACTGTTGTCAAGTTTAGGAAGCGAGTGTGATGGATAATATACTTACAAGAGAGAGCTACTCAAGTGTCTGCCTCAACGCAAACTAGAAGACAGCCGCACGAAAAGAGGTGACAACTTTCCTACTCTCAATGGCTTACAGTTCTGAATGTGCGTCGAAAAAGTGTGATGTGCTATCTATGTAACATGATTATTTCAGCCGGTCTCCATTCATATGCGCACTGTAATGGATCGGAAAAACATGGAAGAAAAACTAGCGCTGAGCCCCTCGAATATAGCTTATTTGGTGCGCAATCCGACCTATACCTACATGCTGCAACGTTTTTCTGTCTATTTGGGCTTGTTGCATTTCCTGTTCGTGATCGTCTTCTTTACTTACGCTTCCACTCTGGTTGTTTCCTGGTATAAATGTTTCACCAAGTCGTGCATTAGATCGATCTGGTCATTCTATCGCGATATATCGTCAAAAGTTGACATGATTAAAGAAGTTGATGGCCATCTTAGCAGGCGTATATCAATATGACGGCGAAAAAGAAGAAACTCGAATGCAAGGAAGAAGAAGACAACAATGTGGACACTGCTGAACTGGTGAAGCATTACGAGGAGGTTTGTCTAGTCTTTGTGAATTGTATAGAAATGTAAGACTGGCATACATACTGTTTTCGTTTTTACTCAGACAGCGGATAGGACCCCTCCGCCGGAGAAATGGCAGGGTCGCGGCGTATCCCCAGCGGTGGGTCTCCCATTTGTCCGGCGGAGCCCTCCCATTTCTCCGGCGGAGACCTCCCATTTCTGCTCCGGATACCCCCCATTTTCTGCTCCGGAGACCTCCCATCTTCTGCTCCGGATACCCCCCATTTTCTGCTCCGGAGGCCTCCCATTTCTGCTCCGACCCCTCCCATTTTCTGCTCCGGAGGCCTCCCATCTTCTGCTCCGGATACCCCCCATTTTCTGCTCCGGAGGCCTCCCATTTCTGCTCCGGACCCCTCCCATTTTCTGCTCCGGAGGCCTCCCATTTCTGCTCCGGACCCCTCCCATTTTCTCCGGCGCGGCTCTTCCAAATTTGGCGGACACGCGCCGCGCAGATTTCTGCGGCGCGGAGTCCGTCAAATCTGGCAGAGTCGCGCCGGAGAAATGGCGGACCTTTGCAGCAGGGCCGGAGAAGCCTCCCATTTGCCTGCCAGTGATGCCACCGCGATGGACCGCCCATTTGCCCTTCTCTCATTATTCAATTGGGTCCGGCGCGACTCTGGCAGTTTCCGAGGGTCCGGCGGAGGGGTCCCGTCGATTGTCTGAGTATGTCAGTAAGCCGCTTGTTCCCCGAGTGTGCTTCTGTATTGCTTGTTTCAAAAATTCAGCTAGTTATGACTCATTCTTTATTCTCAAGTGGAGGATCATTGCGCTCAAACTTTCATAATATGATGTGATGCTTTGCGTTCAGGTCAAGAAAACCCCAACTGTCACCAAAGACGAGTTCAGACATCTTCCTAAAACTGAACGAGGGGTTGCCCTTCGAAAAGCTTTGAAAAAGGTTTGCGCATTGATTACTGTTTCCGGTATCCTCTTTTTCACTCTGATGGATAATTTATGCAGAACAAGCGCGCTCGTCAAGCTGAGCGTGAAAAACTCCGAGAAACGCTTGGTGATGCTGCCCCTCCGAAAGAAGTGCCGAAAACTATTGAGAGCACGAGAGAGTATGATGTGACAATGGTACAGGATGACGACGAAGAGGTGATTGTCTGAAATCTAGTGTACAGTTTCTTTGCTTGTCATGTAACATCTGATGAGATTTGCGCAAACTTTTCTTCAGAAAAGTCACAGATATCTTTTGGGTGGAAACGGATGTGGCGTCAGCCCTTGAACTTTTCTGATATTTCTTGATCTTTCGCATATGTATGATTATTGCCCTTAGAATTTTTTTGTAAAGTATCTATGCCTTCGAAATGTTTGAAAATTCATTTTATTCAGCAAGAATAAGTGGCTTAGGCCTGACTGTAGTTAATCAGTCATTTTCAAACTCTCTTCTTCCGCCCATTGATAGGTTGTGATTGTTTATTAGGTCGAACATGACGAGGCTCATGACGAATTTGCATCGTATTTCAATCGAGAAACAACACCCAAAGTTCTTATCACGATGTCGCCTTTCGCAAAGAAGGTAACTTTTTTACTTGTCAAATTACATAATATGCTTTTTTCTCCTATTGTTGATTGTTGATTTCAGACTACGTGGAAGTTCTGTTTTGAGTTGCAAAAGTGTATTCCCAACGCAGAAATTTTCTCGCGCAAGGGTGTCCCGTTGAAGAAGGTGGTGAAGCAGTCCATTGCGCGTTCTTATACTGATCTCATTGTTGTGCACGAGGATCATAAGAGGCCGAGTACGTACCTTGCACACCTTGTTTTTACGCTGATGTATTAATTTTCTAGATGGAATTATTTTTTGCCATCTTCCGGAGGGGCCAACAGCCTACTTCAAAATCAATAGTTTGAGATTCACAAAGGACATCCCGGTAAGCGCTCTCCAGAACTTTCTGACGAGAAGTTTACATGCTCGTATATACTTCTGTACAAAAAACGAACTAGTTTTTAGCGAACTGCTGAAACAACCTCTCACTATCCTGAGATCATCCTTAACAATTTCAACACGCGTTTAGGCCACACGTAAGCTGGTCAAAGTTCTCGTGACAATTATGAAGATGATATTTGTTGCAGCACTGCAAGGATGTTTGCCTGCTTGTTCCCGCATGATCCTAAGTTTACTGGGCGACGAGTGGTAACTTTTCACAATCAAAGAGACTACGTCTTTTTCCGACATCATCGGTGCGTTATCCTACTGTTTGAAGTTAATATAATGAGAGCCCGTGTGTATTCCAGATATGAGTTCAAGAAAGAGGGACAGAAAGCTGCTCTAGTAGAATTGGGTCCACGTTTCACGTTGCGGTTGAAATGGTTGCAAAAAGGAACCTTCGATACCAAATGGGGAGAGTTTGAATGGGTACTAAAGGTATGTATCCAAGCTTTTATCCGAGCGGTTTCCGCCAATATAAGTTTGTTTCAGCGTCATGAAATGGAAACATCACGACGAAGATTCTTCTTGTAAACTTATCGTTGTTATCCTGCTGTTGTTGTTGAGTTGTTAAGAGTTGAAATATGAGACACTGTGTACAAAATGGATAAATATATAACATCTTCAATCTAATTGTTTTTGTGGTAATTTCTCGTAGAGTATCGCAGGAATGCTTTGAATGGTTTTTTCTTGGTATCGCTTTTTTTAGTTGCACCTTGGAGTAAGACCTCAAAATGTTGAGCCGGAACCTGGCATTGACGGCAGCTCGACAGCTACGCGCCAGGGGAGCTATAGGAGCCAGTTCTTCTCTTGGTCCAGTGAGGTAAATTTAATTGTTCTCTTTCTACTTCCAAGTCTTCAAACACTAGTTTCACTCTATCCTTTTGATTTAATTAATGATTTCAGGCATCGCTTTGCGTGGGGGCGAGATGCTTTAGGACCTAATGTGCCAGTTGGAGGCAAAATGGGAGCTCAGGAGAATCCTGAGCTGCACACGTGGGATGGTGTATATAGGGGTTCTCCCGAGAAAGGGGACAAGCTTATTCCAGAGTATGTTGCTTTCTGTCGAACGATCTGCATAAATTCCATACTGACGTCCATCAAACGTGTAATACTTCTTCTACGTTTAGTTTCTTCTATCGCACTCCTACAATGGGTACCACATATACTGATCGATGCGTTACCTACTTTATCTCCGCTTTGCTTTGCGGATGGGTTACCTATCATATGTATTACCATTCTGGACATATTCTTGTAAGTTCACAATCATGTTGCAGTCTTCAACTCAGCCTTCGTTAATTTAGGGACATTGGTACATGCCTTATCTCCATGAGTTTTCTGACGAAGAACTCGGAATTCCTCCAGATTCTGCTCCTGATCCAGAGTACTGGGGAAATCACGGCAAAAAATATGGAACCTACCGCTAAAACGTCGCAAAGCAAAAGCGCTCCACTAGCGCTGACGTTTACGTTTTTAATTAGATTAGATTATGCACGTATAAATAGGTCTTTGGTGATCTTACACTGACCTTTACATTGCACTGTAAGGATATAGAAGATTGGAATAGTGTCTAACTAGGACTTCATTTTTGCAGTTTGCTCGAACGAGAGGTACATTGATAGAAAGTATTGTTTGAGGTTACGATAAAGCCAGATCCGAGTTTGTTAGAACAGATAGCGAAGATCTATTAAGTGCAGAAAGTTGTCAGTTGACCGAAGCAGTACAATCTTTTTGAGTAAATGTCTATTCAACTGCAAAACTCATTTTCCCTTCTAGCAAGTGCGAGATGTGAAAACGACTCGGTTTGGTGGTAATCTAGCCACTTATGCAGTCATATTCAACAAGAGATTTTGTTAAACCACAAAAATTACTTTCATTTTCATTTTCATTTGTACGCTCAAGGCAATCCATAACAAAAATAACATCGAGAAGTTAGTAATACAGTGGAATGAACAAGAAACATAAACGAACGCAGACATCATCATGTCAATCCGAGTGTAATCCTAGTCAGACTTATGTAAGAAAAATGAAATAGCTTACTTTACATACATCTTACAATTAGAAAGGAGCGAGGCGCTGAGTCAATCCGGGTCTGCACAAAGGCGTTTTCTGAAGTCCTTGTTTTCCCCGCCTGTCGTCTTTCGTATGAACATTGGTATATATGTATACGGAATGCCCTGGATGTTACAAAGATGTAATCTTTGAAGAGCATGAAATGCTGCACGAACACGAGATTGCAATTTTGTTTATAAGCTTCCAAGCAATTGCACTAGGTTTCTGCCACCATTTTAGAGATATTAGGCCCAGAAGTTTGATGAAATCTTACTTTAGTAAAGGATATGGAAACTTGTCATTCATCGGAGTTTGCAGCCGGATTCATCGGATCTTTAGAAGATTAGACCATTGCTTCAGCGTCGGAGGCGGAAGGGAACGATTGTATCATAGAAAACCAAAGCGAGAAAGAGTTCCTTAAACTTCCGTGATCTTCCTCGAACCCATTACAACTTTTCCTTGATTTTCAGCTTGTTGGCTGTGGCACCGCATATCGGTTGCTTTTGGAGGGAATAAAAGAGATGAAAAATTCGCGCCTATCGGAACTGACTCTAAAAAGCTCCTAGCACATTTTATTGCAGCTCTAAGTAGATAGCATGGCGTTGACAGACTCTGAAATCATAACTTGTCTCTTGGGAATAGAACAGTAATTGGCGTTGCTCAACTAATGTTGCGCGGCTAGTATGTTAATTGGATCAAAATTCAAGCACAAAGTTTCAGTGATTGTCATTTCTTTACACCACATTGTATAGCTGTATAGCTTGTAAGTACTGCTCTCCATCCGCAAAGCTTATTGTCTTCACTCTTAATGTATAAATATGAATGATAAACAATCGCATTTGCAATCTGAGGCGAACGCATCATTGTATGTGGACGATTGCTTTTACGAGTTTGTCTCACTTGCAGCAATTACAGTTCAGATGTTGGAACCCGTAAGATACAAAGGTGTCCTTTGACTATTGCATTGGTTTGAAGAACAAGAATCACATCCTTCGCTTAGCAACGCAGTAATCACAATGATTGCAAGCAGATCATGGAAGGATCAAATGAGAGCTTGGCAAAGTGTTATTGAGTAGCCTAACCTTATTTTTATCTGTCAACTGCTTTCATTGTCACAATACACTTTTTTCCTAAGGAAATATTAAAAAAGCAGACAATTCTTTGCGGAGTTGTCGCAAGGAAATATATGCCCTGTCTAGAAACTCGTCGAAGGAAATGCTTGGAATTGCGGATAAGCTGTTCGCAAGCTGTTGAATATATCGTAGTTTTGAGTTTGAGGTCTCTACCCTCAAGTGCAGGATCATTAGTGATAACGATAGAATTACGCAAATATTAGGTGGGTCCGAAAGTTCGTGCCGTTTTTTAGATCTATCCTCAAACCATTCAGAAATCACGATGGACAACACTCTAGGAAGTGTTCTATACAAAACTTCTTTCCTTTTTCAGCAGCGATGTTTTTTTTCAGGATCCCTTCGCGAACAATCGTCGCAATCTAAAACCCATGCTTTTTACCTGCATTTTACATACCGTAGCTTTAGCTACTTTTTTAAATTTTCGTTTCGGAGTTTTGAAAAGCTTTAGTATGTACAGTTGGATAAAGTAAACAAAATCACTAATTTCAACAAACAGATGACCTTCCATTGTCTTGTTTGATTATTGGAGTTTTCGTTCCGAGACGCATTCAAAAATTTGAATTATGGCAGTTTTGTTCTCGAGGCCTTTACGAATAAAGAAGAAGAACCATCAGAAAGATAGAAGTTGCATGACCCCCAGCTCTGTTTGCCGTCTGATGTCCTAGAGGTTTGGAGCAAACAACAGTAAAATATGATAGCATCATAATGATAATTTTAGAAAGTTTGAAAAACCAGCTATTGATGCAAAAAAATTGTAATACATTGCAATTTACTCTATCTAACTGTTAAAAGCATTTCCGAAATTCTTGAGCGAAAATTAAAAAAAAGCAAAAGTTAGGGTGGGCAAAAACCATGGGTTGAAGATCCTGACGATTTTCCAAGCTAACATCAAAGGAATCTGAACATAACATTGCTGCTGGAAAGAGGACGAAATTCTACATCGAACACTTTTTGAAGCGTTTGTCTATATTTTGAATGATTTCAGTATAGGTCTAAAAACTGCACGAACTTTCGGACCCATTAAATACATGACCTCTCGTAATTCGACAAAAAGTCACCGAGCTCCACGAGTTCGAGGAAATCCGCTTACCATACCGATTCAAAATGGCTGAATACTGAATATAAGGGACACTGTTCGACTCACCTCGATGATTCACATCTTCTGATATAGAGAAGCTTCCTTGAATACGGTAGATGAATTTTTTCCGACTTTCTTGCAATAGGTCACTTAGTGTGCTTATTCATTGCTCGCTGAGTAACCTACCGTGGGCGAAAATCTATGGAAGCTGACCACCTACCGTATCCACATCGGCACTTCTATACATCAGAAGATGCATCTCGCCGAACTGAGCTGAAGGCCCTTTAATCCAGACTTCATCCACTCTGAACATCCACTCTGAACTAAATACGATCCAACGCGGATTTCCGTTGACTTTGATGGAACTTGGAGAATTTTTTTGACGATTCATGAGCAATCTATTGTATCTCAGTCTATTTCTACAAAGTTGTTAGACAATTTGGGTATGATCTTTGTGACATTACGACCACTCATTTCCACCTTTTCCCAATAACCTTGCATTCATGAGAAAGTGACGGCTAGATATTATATTGGTCATGTCACAATGCGAAGAAACACAAGTTCATTTTTTCTTGTGGGAATGGACACTAATTATCGGTTTGAAAGTCCATAGCTCACTTTCATTGCGGATTTGCGAGTTCTCTTCTGGATTTTTGTATGCAAATGATTGTTACAGTTCTTGCATGGTATTACAATTAGGTACTAGATGTATACTACTAAATATGTCTGTATCCGTATCTAGGGGAAAAGATCTAACAGTAGTGTTCATACATAAGCAACCAAAAAAAAAGTTCCTTGTCTTGGTCGACCCTGAAATGTTCATTGCAGAGCTTCGATGGTTTCATTATTTCACTCCAATGATTACAATTTCATCATCGACTGATAGAGTGGAGTTTTTACCCGGAAACCCCCAATTTCCTGACCTTCATAATCTTCCGCGATAACTCGCTTGCAGGGAAGATGCACAAAGTGTGAACAAAATAGAAGAAGTCTCCTTTAGCTTTTACCAACATATTATTTGATCTGTGAAGATGTTACTTGCAAAGGTCTTAGGCTACTTGTGACTTATTGTTAGGAGATGACTGGCTATAAATACAAAACCAGTCAGGCGTTTTAACGGTTTGTCCTCTCAGTTATAGCTTCCTTATTCGAAACGACCAACCATTTACGATTGCAGGCCAGTTTAGTGCACCTTCCACATGACTGGGAAACCAATTGATTATACAGGTGAGATAGCTATGACTTTTCGTGTCTGAAAAGTTCAAACATGGAAAGACAAGATTGAAGTTGCGACTACGAAAGCCTGTAGAAAAGTGCAAGTTTTGAATATACGAATTCTTTAGTCTGGAATTTACACTACTCGGTAGTATGTCCTTGCAGCTTATTTCTGGTCCCACCCATATGTTGTTGCTTGATTTGCTGATCAAAAGATATCCGGTGTTTTTTTGTTTTGTTGTGTGTTTACTACTTCATTTTCATTGCGGCTCTCCTTAGTATCCTCATGTTAGCTGTTTTGTTCGATTGATAGCACGCCGAAGTGCGTATGAATAAATAAAATAAATAAATAAAAATAAGTCCAGTCAGTCTACGTATTAGGTTGTCCTGAGTCTTTTCATTTTTTACTTTTCGCTGTATCAAGTCGCACATTCTTATTCTAAACAGAAATCAGTAAACCATTCGATAGAACAAAGTAAGCTCTATAAGATGACATTTATGCTTTTGCACCATCTTTGATCCCCTTAAGTTCAAATTCAAAATCTAAAAAGTTTCGGGTGCTTAGGACATTGAAAACTTTTCATCTTTGTTAAAAAAGTCCTACAAATCTCTCATTCGCTCAAGCCTATACACTCCACATCAGATACTCTTATGTGCTGTTGTTGTATTTTTATTTTTTTATTGGCTAGAATTCAAGAAAACGAAAATTTCCGGGTTTCTACCAAAGTGATGCTGTGCTGTTCTTACAGCAGATGTATGAAAGTCCTAAGAAGGACAACCGTAATTTTTAGCTCTCTATAAGGCCTAGTTCCCGAGAAATCTCAAGTCAAGCGAAAACCCGAGTAAGAAAAGCTAAATTTGTTATTTCAGAACTAGAGCTTATAGAGGCTAAAAATTCACGGTACTCCTAAGGGCTTGTAGTGTACGACTGATAGTGTAGGGACAGCACATCATCACTTTGGTAAAAACATGAAAATTTTCGACTTCTTGATTTTTAGCTAATAAAAAAATACAGCAACAGCGCATATGAGTGTCTGATGTGGAGTGTATATGCATGAGCGAGTGAGAGATTTGTAGGACTGACGAAGGTATAAAAAGTTTTCATCTCATAAGCACCCGAAACTTTTTAGAATTTGGTATTGAACTTAAGGCGGATCAAAGCTGGTGTAAAAGCATAAATGTCATCTTATAGAGCTTACTTTGCTCTCTCCAATGGTATATGTTGTCTGTTTAGAATAAGAAGTGTATGATTTATTACAGCGAAAACTCAAAAAATGAAAAGACTTATGAAAGTACCGAATAGATAGCCCTCACCCATATTTCTTCCATTTTTTCGTATCAAAATAAGATCTGAGCAGATTTCTGTTGCAGAACTCACTACAAATTAGAGTAATGAGAAATCTTCGAAAACCACCCCTTAAACAAGGTTATGTTTCTCAACGGTAATCATTTCGCGATTCAATTTCCCTGACCAGCAGGTGTTATCTTTCTCATAGCCAAACATCACTTTCTTTGCACTTCGTGGATTTGTTGATGATAGCGATGGAATGCATTGCTCCAGATAAAACAATGCACTCACAGGTCATCTTTTTGTCACCATGAAAGTCTTTTTTTGGGAGCTTCATAGAAAATTAGAGCTATCAATATCACTGAACACGCTCAAATACACAGCGATAAGGGACAGATGTTTTTATAGCATTTTTTAATTTATCAGTGATAACGTGGAGAACTCACATGATGTATAATATTTCTGCTATCAAACACTTCATCAATCACTTTAATTCTGTAATCTTGTTGAGTAACCCACTAAGTATATGTTATCACTGGGGTAGTCTTTGTAAAAAAAAAGCAATTTTCGGTCATAAAGGCTTCATTTCTCGAGAGTTTTTCTTCCATTTTCATGTTCTGTTTCCTAATTACATTGTATATATCAACTGCTCAGCTTAGTTTTTCATGAGTTTATTCTCAATCTCATTGCTGCAAAATAGATATTCCTTCTTCCAGTTCAATTCTTCAAATGACTCTCAGCGCAAACGGGTCGCTAATCGCCAAATGTTATAACTCATTATAATATAGTTGTTACTGTATCATCAGTTTATCTGGTTCTGAATCATGGTGCAAAATTCTTCTTTGATCGGTTTGAAAGGTTTGACAGTCCCTAATCTAGCAATTTAACCAGTCTTGACACACGTTTATCCGTCATTTTTGCACAGATCCCCTAAACAATAATTTATGAAGAGGCGTAAATATGAAGGAGGAGGAAAGAAGAGCTTTTATCTTCGAGACTTGAAGCAAGTAATCTTATCTTGATGACAGGCTGTCTTTGAGAAAAAGAAGACAGATAGAATACCTACGGACAACAAGTGGTCATAACTGCACGCAATCTTCGGGTAGAATATGTACAATTAAAGATATTATGGAAAGAGAACTAGGAAGACCGTGACGGTAGCTAGGCTTTTCTCCTTCCTTTTGATAGCACAACCCATGATACTTACTCATTCTGTATTGTATTGCCTCTTCTGTACTTATTCGCTCGAGTAAGTATTAGTAATCAAACACGAGTTTTTGAAAGAGAAACCTCTACATGCTTTTTGCTCGGTCCGATGAAACCTATATAATGTTATTTGCTAATTGAGCAATTCCAATACCACCCTTATTTTTCAAAAGTAAAGATATTCTTTGAAAGCGACATGTAATGATATTACGATATCCTGTTGTAGTGACTCAAGCTCTAGCGTTCGATTTTTAGTTCTTGTTCTCTCGACAATGCTTGATAAACTTTTCATCTCTGTTCACAGGTTAAGCCGATAGACATATTTACTTTCCGTCAAAAACCAACAATGCCTCTTTGCACAATGTAGTCGTAGAACTTCCTGTGTCTGCTTTGCTAATTAGGCTCAAATTTCACAGAATTACTTACGAGTTCCTCAGTTCTTTGTGCACCATTCTGAAAAGAAAAACATGATTGTTGCTTTCATTTGTGTATCTCAACCTTCGAATGATTTGTACACAACATCACGTCACTCCTCTTACAACTACACTCAGTGACTACGCAAAGTCCCCATGAAAGCAGGGACTCCCATTTTTGCGTTTGATGATCGCAGATGACATAAACGAGAAATTCTGTGCACTTGATATTAACGACTTGAAAAATCTGCAAATTTGGAAATATTTGAATCCTTTATATCTATCTTAGCTTCTTTGTGTTTCGTTTATTACTAAAAAATGTTTTTAGAAAATTTGCGCACCTCAACCAGTTCTTTCGCATGAAATTTCGCATACACGAGAATAGCGAACATACTTACAGCTTTTCCTGACTGTAGTCTGGAATATTGGAACGAAAACATTTTCAAACATTTTCTATAAACATTCAAATTATAAAATACTTGACTGATTGATGCATTTAGTTAGATCACGAGGCCTATTCACTAAATGAAGTTTTTGACTTCATAGAAATGATTGAATAGAATAGTGTCAGCTGGAAAAGTATTTACTGGTTTTTGGTTGAGTAGAGCAGTAAATTCACCGCCGTGGGTCCCAATAAGACCGAAAATTGCGCATATTTTGCACGAGAACGTTGTTTTGCAATTCTAGTGCGCGGTAGAAGTGTGAATCAAAAAGGATTTTTGAAAGGGTTATTCAGCATGCTAATCATGGATATCGTACCCAACACGGTGCATCTCTTACGTTCAATCTCCGCCTACCGTAGCCGCGATAAAAGAGTTTTGCGAATCTGAGATTCTACTCTTTACCGTAATCTTACAGCAGCTTCAAAAACGAAGATTTTTGTCGTGCAACGTACGTATAAGCCCTTCATAAAATCGTGACAACGAATTTTACAGGGCCTTTGACGCCCAAATCACAGGAATGTAAAACACTTGAGCAATAACTACAACTTTACTGCTCAGCTCAGCCGCTAGAAGTATCCAACAGCTATCTTATGCACACAAAAAGAAATTTGAATAGAGACAAAAGCGAAGAAAATATTTTTCAAACTTCGTACGCTACGCGCGCTAATGCCACCGTCTTCACTTTTTTGTATGCCCTGTACGACATCCGTGATTTATGCCAGGAAAATAATCCCTAAGGTAAATAGACGAGAAAGCTTTTCACTTTTTTGACCTCGTTAAGTAGGATAGAATTCTTAGCACATTTGGGATGGTGCAAAATAGTCAAAGATTGAGCAATATCTCCGATGAGAGCTCACGATTTCTGCATATGGCTCAAAACCATGACGACGGATTTGACTGCGGTCTTTGCGCTGTTCATAACACCCTCATGCAAAAAGGCATCACTTCAACACTCACCTCAGTGTTCCCAGTGTTCAAGTACTATCACATTTGAGCAAGAAAACCAGTCGAGTAGAGGTTAAAACCAAGAAAATGCGGTTGCCGGAGGGTGCATGCCTGTCGCATGCGGTCGAGCCATCGCCGCGATTTTTCGAATGTCTTTCAGCAGGAATAAGAGAATTGAGTATGGAGCAACTTCAACACAAGAATGTTCTCAAAACTTTTGAAGAACCTGGGCAGAGATCTTTCGTGCAAGCAAACAGTTAAAATGCACTTGGTTTTCATTTCGGCCAAACAATGTGATTACTACACATCGTTGTAGGCCAGAATCACGTGAACTTCACTTCGATGATAAGTCGTTGACATAATGGTTGTAGTGAGGATAAGCAAACAGATTACTTATAAGTTCCAAAGCAAATTTCTTTGAAATAATGATGTCTTTTCTCTCACAAGACGCCTGCCTATGTACATATTTTGTTCGACTTTCTCAATAGCTAACACTTCCTTTCCTCTGCTTTAAAAAATGTTTGTGTCAGCAGTCTCACGCAGATTTTTTATTCTGAGTGTAATCTCTTCCATTACTTTCTATCGCCAAGATGTTTTACTTCTCTTGTGTACGATTTTTTTTTTGAATACATTCAAGGGTGGGCTGTAATACGGCAGTAAACATAACAAGCAGCAATGTCAGTAATTAACAACAAAAGATAAGAACATATAATTAGAAAAATAAAAAGCATTTGCTACTTGGGTCTTGTTTTCAGCATTCTTGAATTTATGGTTCTGCAAACACAGAACACATTTCGAGTCTGTTCTTTCTGCTACCAATACAATTGTTTATTATACAAGGTGTCCCAAAAGTATGTGTACACTGTTCAATCGTTGATAACTTCCTCAGAAACATTTTGCCAACTTTCTGGTACCATTCTAGAGGGCTGGCTTCAACTTAGATTCACCGCATGGAAAGAGTCACCGATCGCTTTTCTTTGCTGTATGATGACGGAAGGAACTTTGAGAAGAGTTTTGAGAGGCACCGTCAACCTTAA